CCACAGGAAAAGATGTCAGAACCAGGGAAAAACAGAACCTCCATGAAGGACTTGAGCAGCCAGACTTTTGCAAGAAAGCAAGAAGGTTTAATAGAAAGACACACCTCAGAGAAGCAGGAGACTTGGCGTCTTTCTTATTCCAGTCTTATCATGAGCCCTGCGATAAGTCACTACCGGCTCTGAGTCTCAGTTTCTCCAAGCAGAAAATGGGGAAAATCCTGCTCATTCTTGCCTGTCCTGCACATGTGGTCGAGGGAAGTCATGTGTGGTATTTTGAGCTTCACAGTAGTTTTGAAAAATCCCAAAGGGCGATTGTGCAGCTAATGAGTTGGAAATGAAAGTGTCCCTTGAGAACAAGACTCCCCTCTCAACTTTGGCTCTCTGACCACGGCAAGTTCTGTGGCTGGTTGCAGAAGGTCATGAGTTCACTGATTGCTGTGGACTTGGCCTCTTCTAATCATTGCTCCTGAGGGAACTTTCAAGGAGCCATTTATTATTGTAGCTTGGTCTAGCAGTGTGGTCCCGAAGCTCAGTCCAGGACAGCAGGATATCAAGGAGAGAAGAAAGAGAATTTGTTCTTCTACACCCAGGCTTCCTAGGGAAGTAGGGTTGGACTAGGAATCTCTCTGATGAAATACAAGGAAGAATTGCTTTGCAGAGGAAAACACATTCAAGCTTTATCCTGAGACCGTTTAAGGGGTGTGATGTCTCTCACACCACTAGGCTAGAATGAGGGAGTGCTGGTGAAGAGACAGGTAACAGAGACTTTCCCCTGTGTATCCTCCCAGACCTCCCGTGCCTGCCTTTATCACTGGAATATTACAAGCAAGCCAAATTTTCCCCCGTCTGCCTCCCTGAGATTTTTCAAAGAGACCAAGAATTCTGGTGGCAGCTCAGGCTGTTCCTTGCTTCTCCAAATCTGCCTCTGGGGTCTTTATTTTTCATTAGCTGACTGGGGAAAGTAATTTTGGATGTGTGTAAATTTCCACCAAATAGACTTTTTTCCCCCTCCCACAGGCTCCTAAGGAGGTAATTCATTGCAACAAATTATCACTTTTAATTGTTCTCGGTTCTTGATTGTTTAATACTCTACTGCCAATATCGGCTTGCTTCCCTCAAACCAACTAACCTGCATCTTAAATTCAGGCTCCCTCCCTTCACACTTAAAAAATAAATAAATAAGCATAGCAAAGTAATTGACAAGAAAGGGGGGGGAGCCATTTAAAGGTTTAATTTGTTTATTACACCTTTAGCAGAGGATGCCTTGCGGAACCCTCAGGTGGGCTGCTCGCCTCCATCCTCTTCTTCGCCCTCCCTCCCACCGCACACCCCCCAAGAATCACTTGAATGAATGAATCCTTTTTCCTCTTACTACTACCCCATCCTTAGAAGTTACACAGAGCCTCTCTGGGGCTGTTTCTTTGCCTCGTGAGGACTGAGATGTAACCTGCCTCCTCCTCTACAGCGTCAGCTCTACCAACAGGGGGAGGGTCCACTCTCAGAGCACAACACAACCAGCCCCACTCTGGAATAAGTCCGTGTTTCCACCCTAGCAGCAGGGAAGCCTGCAGAAGTTGTGGGCTGGAGACCCTGGAGTTTGTAAGCTGGGTACACTGTTTTTCTCACCAGGACCGAGTATGTGGTTTTTCTTCTTTAGTACACCCAAGTGCTCCTTTGGGTTTCTTTCTAACTCCAGAATGTTAGAAACTTCTCCCCTTCCCAGATCCGGCTTCTAACAGCTCTCTTCTTCGGCAGGTTCTCTTTAAGATGGACATAGAAGACTGCAATGGCCGCTCCTATATGTCTGGTATGCCCTCTTGTGCGTTCTGATTGTAAGGGGCTGGGAGCGGACACTCTCCCGTGGAGCTGGACGGAGAGACTTCTGCCGAGCACGGGCCTCTGAGTGCTCTAGTCACGGAAGTGACGCTGAGGCTTGGTTGTGTGCGTTTTTTTTTTTTTTTTTTTTTTTGGTCATTTTACATTCCCTAAGTAGTGGCCCTCTTCGCAGACGTCTTGGAGGGTAGGGGAGGACAGGAGGAGAGGCGGGGAATACAGCTGGGGACTCTTAGAGGAATGATGTGAAGTGAAGAGAAGGAAGGAAGATGCGGTTGTTATTCCCGTGCCCAGAAGCCTCCAACTAGGCGTGATTTTCTGTCCCGGCCAGGTCGAATGGTGCAGGGTTTCAAACCTCGAAAGGCCGAAGTGACCTGGGTTAGGGTGACGAGCATCAGAGAATGATGAGAACTTGCAGGAGCTGAAGAACCCAGGGCCTACCTCACGGAGCAGTAGCTCTTCAGGGTCCACCAGTCACTGCCATGAGGAATGTGTAGCCAGTATGGCCAAAACTTCCAAATTTTCAAGAGAAATCAGAAACTTAGATTTCATGTGAAATGTCTCTCTTTAAAAAATGACAACTCAGTATTTTTAAAAAATGTTCCACTGAGCAAGCTAAACTTCTCTATGGGCTGAATGCAGGCAGTGGGCCAAGAGCACAGCATTTGAAGTCATGCCACAGAGCCCAGTTCTCATTTCTCCCAACACTTTTCTATGATGATAATGTTAATGGGTTCTCACTCTCACCGAGGGTTCTATTTGAGGCAGAAGAGATCATTGCTTATAGTAAGAATGACTTTAGAGATAGGAAAGTCAGCCAAGTTTAACAGGTAAAGAGAAATTACAGACTTTATCTGGCTCCCTCTTGGAAGGTGTAGGAAACAGCCCAAGACAGTTTGTCTCTAAGATGGAAGGAATCACTTTTTGCACCATTAGACTGTCAGAGCAGGAAATTATTCTAAGAGGTAAGGGAAGCCAGAATTGGGTTTTGACATGTTGAGTAGCCCCATCAGAAACCCAAGCACCGGGGCCTCCCTGGTGGCCTAGAGATTAAATCTCAATACTATCACTGTTATGGCCTGAGTTCGATCCCCAGCTAGGGCACTGACCCACATGGCACAGTAAACCTCTCCTGTCTCACCAGCTGCTCCCCTCAGCAGTGGATTTCAGTACATCCGCCTGTTCTGCTCCCCACTCAGTCTCTGGTGACTCCTCTCACCCCCTACTCCTTTGGCCTGTACCCCGGTTCTTCTATGCAAAAATAAATTTAAAAAAAGAAGTGCAAGCACCATTGTAGGAATGACCAATAGCTTATTTTTCACCCTAAAGGCAGACCACTGGAGGAACTATGGGCATGTGCCAAGGAGATAAGACGGGTCAGACAAACATGCGAGAGGCATTGGCCACACCTGACACATTAACTCCGACTCCTTTCTCATTTAAGGAAGGAAAGAGCTGGAATTTGCTCTCTGCCACATGCTGGTCAAAGTAGGGGGGGGTATCAAATGGACTCATTTAATTGATTCATTAGAAGTAAAGTCATGGCTCTTTTGAGGAACCAGCCAACCTCCAACCTCTTAACCAGTTAAGCCTATTCAGAAAACCACTATGAGCAATACCTACACTCAGGACCCCACTTTTGTGATGGGGGAACACTCAAATAAAAAACAGTCCCTGCCCTAAGGTAGGCAAATGAGAAAGTAGGGAGCTGGCTGGGGAAATAGCCCACAGTCCTCTCTGGAAAATGTTGGACATTGGAGGGTGTTTGCTTCACTGTGCTATGAGGCCCAGTTCTCCCTGCTTATGGCAGCCTGGCCTATCCTAGACAAGAACAGTCCTCTGTGTTTGGATTTTGAATGAAAGTAGAGGCCAGAAACCCCCTCATCCGTATTTTAAGATTTCTAGAAGCCAACAACTGTCTTAGGAAAAAAGAAAGTCAACGCAGAGCTAATATTAGCTCTAAAAGTACCCTCTGCAGGACTGGGCATGACAGAGACAATCTACTTGAGGGGCACCTGAGAGCCCATCACTGACCCGTCTCTCTTGGGCTGACATGGAAGAAGCAGGAAGAGCTGCAGTGAACATCCCTCCAAAAGCACACAGAAGCCTCTGGAGCCATCACAGCTCTGCTTCCTTCACACCAGGTGGCCTTCCCTGGCCTGGCCCCTTGACAAAGGGGTATCTATCTCCTTTTCTTCAAAGAGATTTTCCAGCTCGCAGATCCTGACTCAGAAAATTCACCTCCCCCCCACCCCATCTTTTTCTAAAGGTACAGAGCATTCCTGAGTGGGGGAGAGAGAAGGAAGCAAAGGAGTCCATTAATTTACCACATAGATTGTCTCCCCACCTCCCTTCCCTATCAAGGAGAAAGGAGTTGCTTAAACCCAATTCGTGCAGTTCATTGACTGAGCAATGCTCGTCCCAAGTTTTCTGAGACTGAAATGTTTAAGGGAACTTTAATAGGAAAGGATCCTGGGGTAGGCAGCCCAAAGTTTCATGGCCCCTCCCACCCCCAAATTCTTGGAATCAGAAAATCTAGTCTTCCAAAGTAGGTCAGCACGTCAGTGAGCAGCTCCTCTGGAAGAGAAGGGAGCAGAGGCCTTGTCTTGATAGAGGGCGGATTCATCCAGTGCTGTAGGCTGCTGGGGGCCCTAGGGGCACAGGAGGCGAGGGGAGGGGGGAGACTATACCAGTATTTTGCCCGGGATGTGAAAGGACTCAGGTCTACAGAGCAACACTAGCCTAAGACCAGACTGCGGGGCCTGCTTGCTGCTGGGAAGGAGGGGCTGTCAGTCTCCAGATCTAGACTGCGACCTCCCTCCTGGAGGAGGAGGGAAAGGAGGGAATAGGAGTGCCTGAGTTGAGTGGGGGAGGGGCTTTCTCCCGATTTGAGAGCCTTGAAGCTGCCCCATGTCCTGGGCCCCATGACCTCTGGGGCCTTGGCTTCCCCAGCTGACAGAGGATTGGCCCGTCCCTGGGGGCCCCCCCTTTCTCCCTCCCACCCTGCGGCCCCATCCATCTCTCTTTCTCTTGCACACACTCCTGCCTCTCGCAGGCGTTTGTTGTGCATTTCCTCTTTGTCTGCTGGGCACGAGGGCACCGGCATCTGCCTCCCCCTCCCCGTGCACACCCGCCCCCCAGCCCTTCACTGGCTTGGGAAAGGGATGCTGTAGCCTCGCAGCCCCCACCCGCTCCGCCAGACACATGCATTCTCTCCAGCCTCCTCCCCAAGCACAGCCAAGCGTGCCCTGCTCTGGCTTGAGCTGAGCTCACACGCGCTAGCACGCTCGCTCGCTCGCTCACGCTCCCTCTCCCTCTCTCCCTCCCTCTCTCTCCCTCCCTCTCTCTCTCCCTCTCTCTCCCTTTCCCTCCCTCCCTCTCTCTCCCTCTCTCCCTCTCTCTCTCTCTCTCTCCCTCTCTCTGTGTCTCTCACACTCACACACACGCACTCACACACGTACACCCTGGGCTGAGCTCTCCTTGCTGGCTGCAGCCGTGGGCCCTGCTCACCGTGCCATTGCCGCTGCCTGCGAAATGACGGCGGTTCCCCTCACTTCCAGGAATCCACGCTTCCTGGAAGGTGAGTGGCTGGGCTCACCCCTGCCTGCCACCGAGACGCAGACATGCACACACCACCCGCACTCCCTCGCCGCCGTTCCCAAGGAGGCGGCCGCATTCGCACCCCAGGGTCTCACCGGCGAGGGAAGGATAATGTAAGTTCAGGCAGAAGGCGGCTAGCGGAGGGGGAGGGGGCTGCTGGGACCAGGGAACCAATTCAGTAACAACTCCCAAGCCTGAGGGAGCGGGAGAGGATGGGGGCTGTGTGTGTGTGCGCGCGCGTGTGCGCGCGTGTGTGTGTGTGTGTGTGTGTGTGCGTGCGTGTGTGTTGTGTGTAGCGGGGGAGGGGGGCGTTCCTCCTTACACTTGCGGAGGATGGGAACGGGTGTTTGGTGTTGCTAAGCAAAGACTGCGACTTGGACAGTGGGCGCTTGTGGTGACATCTTGATTAGGCCTTGGGGACAGATGCAGCGCTGCCTGGGGTAAAATGCCGAGGCAGGCCGGGTGGGAACGGGTCCTCGAGCACTGAGGTAAAGAGGAACCTTGGCAGCAGATGCCTCAAGCCGGAGCAGAGCTCAGAGTGCCCTCAGCCTCCTCCCCACAATAGCTGGAGCTGGGCGTCTTTCTTTGCTCCTGTCCCCTCTGCTCCCTGCTACAGGCTCGCGTCCTGCCGCCGTGGGGCTCGTGGTCAGGAAAGGGAAAGCAGTTAGGACAAGATCCCTTGCAAAAAAAAAAGTGTGGCGGTCTTGCGACCTCATGGCCCGTCCCCAGAGGCAGCCACTCTTGCCGGGATCTAGGAAGGGCAGCTGGGCAGGAGAGGAGCGAGGCCCGTCGCCTCCAACATGTGAAACACTTAGCTCGTGGGCTGTTGCCTGCTTCCTTCCTCTCCCTCCTGCTTTTCTGCCCTTCACACACCTCCTAGTTCCTCTGGTGTGAGCCCCATGATTTAGCCTTGCCCTCCAGGGTGTAGCCAACCTATGGTGACTTTAACCAAGAAAATTTCTCTGAGCCCGGAGAGCAGCCTGATGCTTGGCTCTGACAGTGTGGGGTTTCTGGGAGTCCCAGGTATTTGAAATTCCCTCACTGGGGTTTCTGGGGCCAAGACAGGAACTGTTGAACTTCCCAATTCTGACTCTAGTCCCCTGCACCCTCTGGCTAGAACCCAAAATCCCTGGGGGCCCGTGAAGACTTTCTGACCCCTGAATTGGATTCATTTTTGTGTATTAGCTCCCTAAAAGTAGATTTGAGCCTGTTTTCCCTCTTACCTTTGTCCTAGGGAGGGCAGCGACATCCAAGAGCCTTATGAACTACTGGCGTGACTCTGGAGGCACCTGCTCTTCCTCCTGTTCCCCGGTCTTACTAGGGAGAGCCACAAAGGATGTTTTCCCCTGAGTGTCCCTAAATATACCCTTCAGGATATTTCCCCCCATATGTCAAGCCCCTGACATCTGGAAGGAGCCTCAGCCTTGCAGGTTGGGACCAGTGATGGATTTCTGCCAAGCTCACTCATCCTTTTAGGCCAGGGACTCGGGACCCAAAATCCTGTTCTTCCCCTTTACTAGCATCAAGGGATCTAGGGCAAGTCAGCACTGACATCTGAAAGGAAATAAGATATCCCAAGTCCCTCTAGCCTTTGTGAACCCTACGCTTAATTAAACATATCTTACAACTGAGTCTGAGTATACACGTCTCAACCCACGGGCCTGAGATGCTCACTTTATAAGAAGTATGTGATTCCGACTCAGGGCACCTTTTTTAGATAACCCTGACTCATCTGATGAGCCCCAAATGGAGAAATTCAGTTTTAAACCATAAGGCTTTTTCTATAGATAGTGAACAAATTTTTTCAGGCTTTGATGGGCTAGAATGGGCTAGAAGTGGGACTTTTAGGAGAGGATATGAATGGGAAGTGGTCCCAAAGTCCTGAGTGGTTGTTTTCTTCCCACTGACCAAAGCTGGAGAGGGATCCCTCAGGAGGGTGTGTTCCGGATTTCTTGCCTCAGGCCCAAGACTCCAACCATTTTATAATGGAATCTTTATTTTGTGAAAGTAAGTATGTGCATAGCTGGGAAATTGGGTAAAGTACTAATAGGTGGACTTTAGGGATGAATTTTAGGGTTTGTCTCTCTCTCTCTCTCTCTCTCTCTCTCTCTCTTCCATATGTAGGCCTGTGTGTACACATCCATGCATGTTCATGTTAGCAGACAATGTAGAAGGTTATGGTATGTCTATCCCAGTAGGTATGTTCTCTTTATGTGTATCTACATATGTGATATGTGTCTGTTTGTGTTTATCTACATGTGTTTACTTCACCTATGTATTTGTGCAGAAGATTGTGGGGAGAAGGGATTTTTTTTTAAAGACATGATTCATATCTTCAGGTATGTTATCCGATTTTTAAAAACATATATGAAACGCTCCGAAAGCATTTTTACAAAGTAATTTGTCAACAAGTTAAAATGAATATGTTGGGAATAAGCTGATTATTTATTGTCAAGGTAATATCAAGTAGTAAATCATATCCGATAGGAGGCCTTCTAGAGTAGTCAGTTTTTAGCTACTTTGAGAAAGACTAGTGGACCCAGCTCTCCCCTCGTGAAACGGTGACTCGCAGGTGGTGGTCAGGACATGGGCACTTACTGTTTATGACCAGATCCTGGTTCCTCCGCTTGCACCACTCTGTGACCTTAGACAAGTAACAGAGCCTCTTTGTGCCTCAGTTTGCTCACATGCAAAATTAAGATAATACTGGCCTGCACCACGTAAGATTATTTTGAAGAATACATGAAATAATTCATTTAAAATACACAGCCCGAAGCTGGCGCCTGGTAAGCAGTCAGTGTTATCCTGCGGAACATGGTCACCGTGAGTGTTCAAAGCACTGGCTGCTGTCATTACCGTACTGTTATCATCATTAGACTCAGGGACAATTCCAGCTGCCCTTCCTGCAGATCCCGAACCTGGTGTGGGGGCTCGAGAAAGGATCAGTAGGGAAGAACGTCTGCCCTGAACCGCCTCCCTCCTGAGGGCCCCATTTTCCTCTCTACCCTGGCCCGCCCAGCCCCAGCCCTGCTTCCTGTGGACGTCAGGCAGTGATGCTCTTCCCCTCAGGCCTAGATAAAGGTAGGGTGGGCAAGGCCCAGCCACGGAGCTCTCGGAAGTCAGCACCGGGCACCAGGCTGGCGAGGGCACAGGTAGGGTGCCCAGCTCACAACACCGCTTGTACGTGACTACACGATAAAATGTTTGTGAAACTAAACTGAATTGGGAAGAGCTTAGGCAGTGGACAGTAAATGGCGCCAGCTGCAGCTTCACCTGCCCTCTTGTTCTCTCCTCAAGGTAGCGGGGACTCATCTCTGGAGAAGGAGTTCCTTGGGGCCCCAGTGGGGCCCTCAGTGAGCACCCCCAACAGCCAGCACTCTTCTCCCAGCCGCTCGCTCAGTGGTAAGTGCAACCTCCTGCCTTCCCCCGGCACTCGGCACCCCCACTTGTGTTTGGACCTCGATCCCCCTTCCATTGGCAGCCATTTTCCCGCTGCTGCCTCCCCTGGCTTCCTGCTCAGAGTCTTTCACAGCACTGAGGAGCTCAGCGTCTAGCGTGTTCCCAACTTCAGAAAGGAGAGTGGACGGTCACTGCCAGGCTAGGGTGCAATTAGTTCCTCTGGCTAGAGGAATTAGTGCAATTAGTTCCTCCAGCCAAAGGCTCAAAAGAGAACTTCTGGAATTGGAGAAGCAAGTAGATGGACGTGGTCCTGAGCTCAGTAAAGGGAGATTAGAAGGATCCCCTCATCGCCCTCCACCATCCTCTGCCCGGAGAGGGTCCCCATGACCGCCCCTTCTCAGCTGGCCCCAGATCTGTGACATTCTCTAGATGGTTGGAATAGCCAGGAATGTAGGTCAGAGCTCGTGCCAAAGCTTTCTCCTCAATGGCTCCTCCCTCCTTATCCCCCACTCCAGCTTTCTGCGAGGGGAGTTGGGGGACTGGTCTCCCGGGCGGCGGAGAACGTGAGCCATGTCTGTCTTCCAGTTCTGTTTTCCCTTTAGTCTGCTGTCTCCCCGGCCTTCCTAGGACCGTTTTCCCGCCACTGTTTCTCGCTGGCTTCCTGCCCAGGGCCAAGCCAGGCATCTTTCTTAGTGACAAGGAATTGGAGAGAAAGGCTCCCCTGGGCCTCCCCCTGTCCTCAGTGGCAGAAGACATCCTGGGTACCCCCGTTCTTTCTCTTGAGGCCTGTTTGCCGGGCCGGTGAGATGGGAGGAAGGGATTCTTCCAGGTCCCACCAGGAGCGTGGCTTCAGCACCCCGATGCTTTGGGCGGTGGCTTCTCGTAAAGCCGGGATGCCTCGGTACTGGAGACAGCCTTCGGGGCTCCCGGCGAGCCCGCCGGTGTGGAGGCGGCTTCCCCCTGTCCTCACCTGAACAGCCTCCCACCCTCCAGCCAACTCCATCAAGGTGGAGATGTACAGCGATGAGGAGTCGAGCAGACTGCTGGGGCCCGACGAGCGGCTCCTGGAGAAGGACGACAGCGTGATCGTGGAGGACTCATTGTCGGAGCCCCTGGGCTACTGCGACGGGAGCGGGCCCGAGCCTCACTCCCCGGGCGGCATCCGGCTGCCCAATGGCAAGCTCAAGTGTGATGTCTGCGGCATGGTCTGCATCGGGCCCAACGTGCTCATGGTGCACAAGCGCAGCCACACAGGTGAGCGGGCCGGGGGCCCGGGAGCAGTCCTGGGTGGGCCGGGAGGCCGAGGCGGTGCCAGGAGGCCACGCCTGAGCTGGGTCGCCCGGAAAGGGAAGCTTCCCCGCACACTGTAGCTATGAGAACAGGGGCGAGGCCCTAGAATTTGGACTTCCCTGGCATTTTCCTCAGCTTGTTGTAATTTAGAAAAGCTGATATTTTTCCCAGGAGGGGAAGGTGTTGTAGCCTCAAGAAGGATCATCTATAGTCCAGCAGCGGTACGACTCCCTCCCGGGGATCGTGGTGGGCTCTCCTGTCTCGTTAAAAAAAGAGCGGGGCGGGGGGAACAGAGGCCTTCTCTTAACTTCCTCAGGCTTTGGGCTCCCGGGGCAGAGTGGGGCCTTGAGGCTCAGGTTTTGGTAACAGTCTTTGGCTCAGTGTTGCCGGCCTGGTGCCCTTCTCACCGCATACACCTCCGCCCACACCATCCCAGGGTAAGACTGTCCCCAGGGCATCCTGACCAGGCAGGGTTTCTGTGCGTGGCACAGCCCTGCCCCTCGGAAATGTGTTCCAAGCACCTTTCCTCGGGTGGGGCAGGAGGAGGGGGACTGGGTTCAGTCTTCCACGTTCCTTATTCCAGTCCTCTGGCGCCCGTCCCTTCCCCTGCAGGCGAGAGGCCTTTCCACTGCAACCAGTGTGGTGCCTCCTTCACCCAGAAGGGCAACCTGCTGCGCCACATCAAGCTGCACTCCGGGGAGAAGCCCTTCAAATGTCCCTTCTGCAACTACGCCTGCCGCCGGCGGGACGCGCTCACCGGCCACCTTCGCACACACTCCGGTCAGTGACCTGTTGGGGGTGGGGGGGCCAGCGCCCCAGCGCACCCAGTGAACGTTGCTCAGCCACGCTCTTGTATTTAGAGCGTTGCAGCTGCGGAGGCCGGAGCTCTCCTGAGCGGGTAGGCCCTGCCTCTCGAGCCCTTCTCTATGGGAGGACCCAATGGGGGCACTCTTTGGGGGCCTCTTTGATGCGGTGCTCTACATCTGCTGCACTCTGCGACACGAAGCAAAAGGAGTGTGTGTGATAGTCTTGGCTTTTTACATCTACCTTCCCTGACTTTGTTTTTGAAAGTTTAGGCTTATGCCAGAACCATCTGTGCCCCGTAACCCCCCACTTCTGAGCACCAAGTAAGCCCTCCGTCCCCGACCCTGCTCCAGGTCCTACTCCTGGCACCCTCTCCTCCTGCAACTCCAGAGATGTCCTTTACTTACTGCCAGTTGCTGTAAATCTCCAAGGGCCTCCCAAACTGAAAGAAAGGAAGCCCAGAACCTCCAGGGAAGACAGGAGTAGCCCATCTCTGCTCCTCACCCCAAGAGGCAAGAGTTAGTCCGAAGGTGCCCAGAAGTCGAGATTTGGAACAGTGCCAGGGAACTGAACCAGCCAGTTCTTCTAGCCCAGCCGAGAGACTGTTTGAGTCAACATCTGTCTGAATCAGCTGGACAGATAGCACTTTTGAAGCATTTACTAAGTTTTAAGCTTTTGGTGTGGATTTGAGAAGAAGCCAGGAGCTGAGCTGGCTGGAAGGAGGGAACTCAAGATTGTGAAAAGACAGGAAGAAGGGCAGAGGGAAGAGAATTGGTAGGATCTATCCTTAGAAACTTTCCTTGCTGTTTTCTTTACTACACTTTCCTGAACCAGGACTTAAAGAGACAGAGCAACCATAGGTTTTATCTCCTTATGTGGAGAAGCGGAGGGGGAAAAAAATCATCATTGATTCATGCCTTAGAATCTACAAAGGGCCTCCGCTGGTGTAGGGTTAAGTCTCAGCGCTATCAACCTTGAGGCCTGAGTTCAATCCCCAGCCAACAAGCTGACCCACATGGCGCAACAGACCTCTCCTGTCTCGCCCGCTGCTCCCCTCAGCGGTGGATCTCAGTAAATCTCCTGCTTTGCTTCCCACTTTATCTCTGGTGAATCCTCTCACCGCCCCCCTCCACACACACACCCCTCTGGCCTAGACCCCAGTTCTTTTACACAAAAATAATAAAAACAACAAAATGGCATCTATAAAACATTTCACTTGTGTCTCTTTAACAACAATTCTAAAATTCTAAGGTAGTTGTTATATTAGCCCCATTTTGCACACAAGGAAACTGGAGCTCTGGGGTTAAAAAGACATGCCCATCACGGAGCTATTTTGCAGCCTCACTGGAACCCCCCCAGGCCCAGTCTAGAGAGTCCTGCTCTTTTTCCTCAGAAGAGGGGTGGCTCATCTGTTGGTTTGGAACAAGTGACGTGGCCCATAGAATCCTCACCAGCAACAGTGACGCCAGCTAGGGCGAGTATGGATGTTCTGTAGATGATTAGGGACAGAAACAGACACAGGTATGTTGGGTCTCATCTCAGTGAGATGCTTTCTACACCCACTCTATGCTTTTGCAATCCACTCTTTAAAAAAGGGGGGGTTGGAGAAAATAGGTGTTCCTCTCCTACTGTTAAACCCTTTCTCCAAGCGCCTTAGGTGGATAGGATCTATGGCAATCACCCCGCCCCTGCAAGTACTAGGATTTACAGATTAAGAGCAAAATGATAGTAGACTGAGTCAAGGCCCAGCTTAGGGGTGTATGTGTAAGTCATCAGTCTCCTGCAGACACCTTCCCCCACCTCCCTGCTTAGTAGTTGCAACATACATAAAATAAAATGTACAAATACCTCATCTTTCTGCCTTTTCTCTCCTGTGCAAGTGTCTGCTCTCAAAAGTTGTCTTTTAAGGGAATTGTCGATCTGCGTTTTCCCAACCTTTTTTCTTTAGTAGATACAAAATCTTCATAACTTGTTCTTTTTTTTTTTTTGTTTTAATACCACTGAAGTTAGTGCTCTCTTTCATCTCTTTTCCTCGTCTCCTTTCCTTCCCTGGTTTGTTCTTTTTCCTCAGAATTTCTCTATAATTTTTTTCCTGGGGCTGTCTTGGTATCTCAGTGTAGATGACAGGGAGAAAGACAAGCAGTACAACCAGTCTAGGGATGAAGCTAAAAACTACAAGTAAAGGTCAGTGAAAACTGCCCGTCCCACACTGGCAGGTCTAAGGGTTCTCATTTCAGTCACCCCAGCCCACCAATTTCCCCAGAACCAAAGCAGGTAGTTCGTAAGCAAAAAAAATCCCCTTGTCTGATAAACAGCATTAAAACCCGCCTGCCACATGGAAAGGTTAAACCACAGTCTGGGCCCCAGGCTCCGAGCCCCTGGGGTGGGGCTAGCCTGCCTGCCAGGGATGATCCCCTGCAAAGTCCCTGGGGCCCTCCCTTCCTCTGAGCAGCCGCTGGACGGCTTGAAGCCAGCATTCCAGAGCTAGGCGCTTTGGGCCCCGTCAGTCCTCGCAGAGCTGCGAGGTCCCTCTTCTGCAAGGCCTGGTCACCTGTGCAGGTTCCAGCTGAAGCTGGAGAAGGGAAACAAGCAGGAGAGTTGAGCTGAGCACAGTCCTTCCTCCTCATGCCAAGGTACATGGCATGTACCTGCGCCTGGATGATTTTGTAGAGCAGTGCACAGGGGAAGTGGCTGTGATGCTGTTCTCTCCTCCACAGTCTCCTCTCCCACGGTGGGCAAGCCCTACAAGTGTAACTACTGTGGCCGGAGCTACAAACAGCAGAGCACCCTGGAGGAGCACAAGGAGCGGTGCCACAACTACCTACAGAGTCTCAGCACTGAAGCCCAAGCCCTGGCTGGCCAACCAGGTGGGGCTCTTGGCAGGACGATGGGTGGGGGTGGGGGCAGGGCCAGAGGGCATGCAAGACAAGCATGATTCCAGCATGCGTGCACACACGCACACACACACACACACAAAGGAATGAAGCTTGTGGAAAAGGGACAGTTATCTCAATAACTTGGCAGGGCACCCTAGTTGGTACAGAGCCCGTGGTAGGTGCTGCAGAGAGATCCAGAGTGAAGGGCAGGTTTATCTCCTCAGTCTAATGGAAGAGAGAGAACACAGGAAGTATAAAATCAAGAGTCAAACGTATACAATTATCCCCAAATTACGTGCCATGCTGCTGAGACGGAACTCTAGGTGGGGTGAGGCAGGCACAGCCATTCCCCCAGCCTCAGGAATGACCTTCCAGAGCTACTGACCTGCTGGTTTTCTCCAAGCAAAGGCTGCTGAGCCAGCACTACCCCTTCTCAGCTGCTGCCCCCTGTCCCCACTCTCCCACTCCCACTAGGCGATGAGATACGTGACCTGGACATGGTGCCAGACTCCGTGCTGCACGCCTCCTCGGAGCGGCCAACTTTCATTGATCGTCTGGCCAACAGTCTCACCAAACGCAAGCGTTCCACCCCCCAGAAGTTTGTGGGTAAGCGTCCGGGCGGGGAGGAGACATCCGCTCTAAGCCACAGCTCATGTAAACCTGAGCGCTGGCGGGGACTAGGCTAGTTAGGTTCGGAGATTTGACGGAGGGAGAGCAAGCCATGGAGGGCTCCTGTGCTCGGACTCGTGCCCCCCCAGCCCCGGCCCCGGCCCCCCAGCAGGAGGAGAGCAGAGCGGGAGGGGAGGCCATGGAGAGTGCGCCTTCAGGCGTAGAGGGGCGAGCTGTGGTCGTTGTCAGAGGAGGGGCCAGCACGCAAGCCCTCGAAATTTTTGAGAGTATCAAGGACTTCAGTCTGTGGGGCGGAGAGAGGGCCCCAGAGTCGGGGGGGGCTGAGTGTGGCTTTGCCCACCCGGGCTTGGTTCACCGGCTCTCGCTCTCGAAGGACGTGGCGCTGCACGGAGGTCTGGAGCGGGTATTCAAGGCCAGTGGGCTGGGTCGAGTCCTTCTCCAAGATCACTGCCTAGACTGGGGAGCAGCCCCTCAGCGGACCGCAAGGAAGTCAGTGAGGGGTAGTAAGCAGTGCTATGGCTCCCCCGGGCATAAGAAAACAAAGCAGCAGCCACGGAGCGCAGGAGTTCCCCGCCCGGCCCTGCTGAGCCCTCTCCTCCGCAGGCGAGAAGCAGATGCGCTTCAGCCTCTCGGACCTCCCCTACGATGTGAACTCGGGTGGCTATGAGAAGGACGTGGAGCTGGTGGCGCACCACGGCCTGGACCCGGGCTTTGGGGGTTCTCTGGCCTTCGTCGGGGCAGAGCACCTACGGCCCCTCCGCCTTCCACCCACCAACTGCATCTCAGAACTCACCCCCGTCATCAGCTCGGTCTACACCCAGATGCAGCCCCTCCCGGGTCGGCTGGAGCTCCCAGGGTCCCGGGAAGCAGGTGAGGGGCCGGAGGACCTGGCTGATGGAGGTCCCCTCCTCTTCCGGGCCCGAGGCCCCCTGACTGATCCTGGGGCGTCCCCTAGCAATGGCTGCCAGGACTCCACAGACACAGAGAGTAACCACGAAGACCGGGTTGGGGGGGTGGTGTCCCTCCCTCAGGGCCCCCCACCCCAGCCACCTCCCACCATTGTGGTGGGCCGACCCAGTCCCGCCTACGCCAAAGAGGACCCCAAGCCACAGGAGGGGTTGCTGCGGGGCACCCCAGGCCCCTCCAAGGAGGTGCTTCGGGTGGTGGGCGAGAGCGGTGAGCCCGTGAAGGCCTTCAAGTGCGAGCACTGCCGCATCCTCTTCCTGGACCATGTCATGTTCACCATCCACATGGGCTGCCATGGCTTCAGAGACCCTTTCGAGTGCAACATCTGTGGTTACCACAGCCAGGACCGCTACGAGTTCTCCTCCCACATTGTCCGCGGGGAGCACAAGGTGGGCTAGCAGCGCCTCCCCGCGCCCCGCCGCCCCCCGCCGCCCCCTGCGGGACTCGGGCCTGCGCCTCCACCTCCCAAGGGGCTTCGCTCTGCGGTCCCCACCACGGCGACCTGACCTCACGCTTGACCCTGACTCGCCCCCCCCCCCCCCCGCCCCCAGCTGAATGAAGCAGGTCTTTTTGCCTCTGTTTCTCCTGCTCCTGCCTCCTCTCACCCCGGCGCACTCACGGAGTTATTTATTAATGTCTTTCTGTTGCCTTTTTTTTTAAATTATATTAGTCCCGGCCCCCTCCCCCCGCCCCTCGCGCACATCAGGCCTAATTTCTCTGATTCAGCTTCCTCCGACGCCCCGGCAGCGGGAAGCTCCTCCCGTACCGAGCCCTTGAGCTTCCCGCTCGGGCCCTCTCCTTTCAGAGCATCCGATTCCTTCCCACGCTGATGGCCGCCTCCCCCTGCCCGGGCTCTGTGGCACTGTCTTTGCTCTCCGGGCCCCTTCAGCCTGGCCCTCGTACCTCCTGTGCCCTCTCACTTCAGGCAGCTCGCACTATTCTTGACCCAATGAAGAATTTCCTCCTTTGGAAGTAGGAGGGGCTGAGGAAATGCTCCCGGGGCACCATGGGGCTGAGCGTCCTCCTGACGCCCCCCTGGTAACCGGAGTCCCTCAAAGCCCACCTTCGGGACCTCCCTGCAGGGTACCTGGATCTCTTCCCTCTCCTCAGACAGCCCCCAACACTGCTCTACTCTGTAACCTGCCGGCCTACTCGGTGGTAGTTTTTCTCTCCTTGAAGCGCCCCAATTTTATATTCTCAGGGGCCAAGGCTAGGTCCGCAGTCCTCCGTCCCTGACACACTGGGAGCCACAGGTGCCTACTTGGGAACCAGGGCATGGGAAGGGGGGGGTCAGAATGCTTTCTCGTCCACCTCTCAGACTTCACTCTCGTGACCTTCCTCGGCCCTCAGGGACTCTGGCAGTCCCCATCTTACGAGAAACTAGTGGGTCGCTGCCGGATGACAAGGGGTATCTCTCCACCCCTTGGTCATGCTGCCTTCTTCTCCCCCCAGCAGGATCCACCCTCTGATTCCTGGCTCCTGGGCCCTGTTCTTAGGAGCAGTGGCAGGAGAAAAGTGTCTCTTTTCTATTTTCTAATTTTCAGTATAACCAAAAATTGCCCTAGGCTGAGCAAGGGCATGCGGCCCTCACCCCATTCCGTTCTTGTCCCAGCAAGAACGGGATGTGCACATCTGAACTGGGGATCATCCTTTGCTCCCCCCTTCTCTACTCAGCCCCCAGACATAGGGTAGGAGGGGGCACCCTCCTCCGAGCTACTGCAGAGACCCTGGCTATTTGGGGAACCTCGGACTGGTAGGGAGGCAGGAGGAGATGCAGCCCCCCTGCAGATGGAGAGGGCCCTCCGCAGCAGTCCCGCCCAGGGCCACGGCACGCCCATTCTCTGCTTCCTTGAGATTCAAACCAAAGGCTGTTTTTTCTATATTTAAAGAAAAAAAAAACGCAAAACCAAACACAACACCTCACAAGTTGTAACACTTGGTCCTCCTCTCTCCTTTTCTCTTTCTTCCCATCTTTCTTTCCACTTGTCCTCTCCTTATTGGCTCTTCTGCCTCCTACTTTTCTCACTCCCTATCAGGGATAATTTGGGGGAATGATAAAGGGTTGGCTAAAAAACAGACTCCAGGATTGAGGCCCTTCAGGCCTCTAAGAAGAGTCTACCTTGCCCTCTACCAGGAAAGGGGCCCTAAAATAAACTCTTCTTCCTCCTTTTTCTCCTCCATCTTGTGGTCTCCCCAAGAGAACCAGATTGTTAGGGAGGGCACTGTGGGGCCACAGTTCCTCACTGACAATGTAGCAATAAACAGATGCTGCCAGGGCAGAGGAGGGGGAGTGAGTGGGGGAGACTGGTCTCTGGGGAGGGGGAGCGGCCTCTCCACAATGCCCTGGGGCACTGGCTGCTCCTTTCAGGGTGGCAGCAGAGGTGAGATTAATATCTGGGATTCTCCTCCCCTCTTCTGGTTCCTGAGCCCCTTCCCATAGGACCTGCCCCCGCCACCTTTTCTGCATCGGCTGTGTATTTAGTGACACCTCATAAGGACTAGTCCCTTCTGGGGCTTCAGAGCCTTAGGGTGCCCCCACCTCCTCCCCTAGTCAGCTTTGGCACCTGCAACCTCCTGGAACATGAAGGACTATGCTCTGAGGCTATACTCTGAGCCCATGAGAGCAGAGACTGGAAAGGCAAGACCAGGTGCTAAGGAGGGGGAGCAGCGCACTCTGACTCTCTCCAGATCATCACTGCACTTTAACCAGGGTCTTAGGTACAAAATCCTACTTTCCAGAGCCTCTCACCTCTGGAACCTCAAACATCCTCATGCGTTCTCCCAACTCCTTTTGCATTAAAAAAACAAAAAACAAAAAACAAAAAAAAAAAAAAAACCACACAACCAAGTAAAGAAAAAGGAAAAAAATACATTGAAACCCACATGGAGAAAAGAGGTGTTTTCCTTTTATATCGATATTCAAAATCAACATCACAAAAAAAATTTTCTAAATAGACAGTTTTCCAGACCTTTGTTTTTTCGTGTCAGTGTCCAAGCTGCAGATATGATTTTATAATACTTCTGGCAGCTTCTTTCCTGTGTACATAATATATATATTATATATATTTTTAATCAGAAGTTATGAAGAACAAAAATAAAACACAGAAGCAAGTGCAATACCACCTCTCTTCTCTCTCTCCCAGGGTTTCATGTGTAGCCTATGCTTGGTGTCTCCTTGGCCCGTACCCCTTCACCTCTGCCTCTTCCTCTGGTGCCCTGTTCCCCCCCCCCTTTTTTTTAAAGAGTTTTTCTCCTTCCTCAAGAGGAGTTAAACTAGCTTTTGAGACTTATTGCAAAGCATTTTGTATATGTAATATATTGTAAGTAAATATTTGTGTAACGGAGATATACTACTGTAAGTTTTGTACTGTACTGGCTGAAGGTCTGTTATAAATAAACATGAGTAATTTAACACCCCTGGCTGTTTTTGCAGACTTCCTTTGCCTTGTTTTTCTGCTGGGAGGGGAGGAGGAGCCAGGGAGGGGAAGAGGGGAGCCTCCTTGCAGTATACCAACTACTGAACATTTTGAAGGTCAACAAGTTCGAGATTGAAAAGAAACCAGACATAAGAAAGCTCAAGTTGTTGTTACCGAAGAATTTTCAAGCTAGGATGGGAAGTGGAGATTTCCCTGTCAAGAGTGTCTTCAGGCTAAGAAAGAAACCCCAACTTACCTATCCATCCAAAGCAGAGATTCATTAACCATTTGTTGTGTACCTACTACGCGTAAACACATTACATGCCTGGGGAGATACAAGTTATAATAAAATGAATGATAATAAAAGGATCTACCACTTCCTGAGCAACTCATAAATTCCAAGACCTGTGCCAAGTAGTCCTTTAATCGTAGAAAACAACCGACAAAGGAATGGCCACATTACTAGTGAAGAAATAAAATCCCAACAGAGAATAAATAACTTGTCCAAGAGTCATGGGTCAATAAGTGACAGAACCCAGATTTGAACCCAGGGGTGTGTGACTCCAAAGTCTATGCCCATCTTTTTTTTGCCAGGGAATGCAGCCAGTGAAACCCCTAAGTTATAAAAATCCAAAGAAAAGCCAAGAAGGAACATTAACTTGCTCTCCCTTAAATATTAACTCTTTTCTGCTCATTTCACTCTACACTTTTTTTTTTTTTTGCTCTCTCCTATCTACTTCACTGCCATTTCATAAGGTAATGCCTGCCTTCTGTTTTCCATGAGACTATGTTAAAATGAAAATTGGAGGGCCTCCCTGGTGGCCAGGCGTTGGGTCTCGGTGCTGTCACTGCTAAGGCTCAGGTTCCATCCCCAGCCAGGGAGCTGAACCACGTATGGCCCAGCAGACCTTCCCTGTCTCGCCTGCTGCTCCCCTTAGCAGTGTATTTCAGTCAGTCCACCTGTTCTGCTTCCCAATCTGTCACTGGTGAATCCTCTCAAATGCCCCCCCAACCTCTGGCTTACACCCCAGTTCTTCTATGCAAAAATAAAATCTTAAAAAAAAATGGAGACACTTCCATTTTATTTTCCAAGTGGTTTCCATCTATGCCACCTTGGATCAGAATGCTGGGAGGTCCCTTTGACACCTTAATCTCTTCAACTTCGGAGATGAATGAGTGATTGCCTGCCCACTGCTCACGGATAGCCATTCCTGCTCTAGGCGGAACACCTTCTGAGGGCTTTTCAGAGGTTAATGAAGACTGTATATGTAAGAAAGAATGGTTCAATAGGGGTTAGACTCATCAATCAGTCACTTTAGTGGGGCTTGATCAGCATTAAAATAAAATGGAAACTAAAACATACCCGTGCACATAATGATGCCAAAGGGTAGTATTGTTTCACAAAGTTTGTGCTTGTTTTTTCCTGCCACCCCGTGCTTCAGTTTTGCATGTGTGCATATTGTGTCTGCATATGGATGTACTGAGCACCAATGTAAAACAGTTCTACTATGGGTCTTAGTCAAGGAAGTTTTTTTTTTTTTTTTATAGAGGCATGCTTATTTATTTATTTGTTTGCTTGTTTGTTTGTTTGTTAGTTTATACATGCACTGGGTACAGTCAGAAGCGCGGGAGGGTGAGAGAATTCACCAGAGCGGGAAGCAGAGCAGGCAGAAGGACCGAAGTACACTGCTGAGGGGAGCAGCGGGCGGCAGGAGAGGTCTGCGCGCCATGTGGGACCCTCCTCCAGTGGCCGGGGAGCAGCCAGGGATCGAACCGGCGCCACAGAGGCTGCGTGCAGCTTTGCAACCCAGCGCTCAACCACTGCGCCACCGGGGAGGCCCTTATTTTTTTCTTAAAGATTTATTTATGCATACAAGAGCTGGGGTGCAGGCCAGAAGTGGGGGTGTGAGAGGTTCACCAGAGACAGAGTGGGGTGCAGATTGACTGAAATAACACTGCTGAGGGGAGCAGCAGGCAAGACAGGAGAGGTCTGCTGCATCATGTAGGTAGCTCCCTGTCTGGGGATCCAAACTCGAGCTGCAGTGGTTGCCCATAGTTTCATGGGGCTGACACTTAGCCCTTTGCACCACCAGGGAGGTCCAGTCAAAGAAGTTTTAAGTCACTGATGCAGGCTGTTAGAAGAGAGGGTTAGGCAGCATAGCACAGTGGAGCCAGAATATCTCTTACTGGTTCTATGTAATCTTGGGCAGGTTAAAACCTCTCTGCACCGCAGTTTTTCAGTCTGAGAATAACAGCACCTCCCTTGTGGACATATTAAGTATTTTTAAAGCGCTTACTACAGTGCCTGGCACTGTGATCCAGAGATAAAAAGGCGATTAAGAAACAGTTCTGGGCCACCCTAGTGGGTGTGTGAAAGGTTAAGCACAGCACTGTGAAGCTATCTGCAGCCTCTGCAGCATGAGTTCGATCCCCGCCCAGGGACATACCCACAGGGCACAGCAGACCGCTCCTGTCTCACCTGCTGCTCCCCTCAGCAGTGGATTTCAATCAGCCTGACCCTGTTCTGTTCCCCAGCTCTGTCTCTGCACCTCTCACATCCTGCACCTCTCACCTGTACCCCAATTCTTGTATGCATAAATGAATAAATCTTTAAAAAGAAAGAAAGAAAGAAACAGCCCTAACGCCAATGCACTTGTCCTTGGCGCCTTATTGTGGGTGTGTTCCTCCATACTGGTTTTTCGTTTCTCCCTCCTTCCTACCCCAAGTAGCAGGATCTTCACAGAAGCGACTGCGTCCCCCGGTGGCGGAGTCCAGCAGCCAGCGGACCGAACACTCGCACTACAACTCCCAGCAGGCACCTCTTCCCCGCTGGCCTCTAATAGGGCGATTTGTGGACTTGAGCGCATAACTTCCGCGCCTAGTGTCGCAAAAGTCGCGTAGTTATTTACGTCTAGAACTACGTGCGGGTGCGGGTGCGCGGGTGCGCGGTCGCGAGTCCTGTTGATACAGATCTTGGTATCCTTCCGCCAGCAGACTAAGTAGTCCCGTGGCCACTTTGTGCTACGGATAAATAAACTCGAGAAACACCTTTCTACCTAGATTTCAGCGGAAACACTAAATAATAAAAAGAAGTAAAGTAAATAGGTTTCCTTTCTTGGCGTTCGTCTCCTGAGAGACTTCCGGTGCGCGCGCAGGGATCTCGCACTATATAAGCGCGTCGGAAGGCGCCGGATCCTCTTTCGGGTCCTGCTTCCAAGATGGTGAGTCCCGCCGCGTGGTGCTGTGGGGTGTGACGGAGCCTGAGAGGCGTGAATTGTGGGGCTGTGGGTACTTAGGGGCCCGGGCTGTGGGGTGGGGAGAGTGACTTGGCTCCGGGCTTCGGGCTTGGGCGGACTCGCGGGGAATCGGGGCTCCTGAGCGGCGCCTTGCTGGGTGCTGCCGACTTGGGGTGCAGCCGCGGGGGGCCCGGGGCGGGTAAGCTGAGCGCCCCACCCGACGGGCTTTGATCTCGGCAGACCAAGAAAAGGAGGAATAATGGTCGTGCCAAGAAGGGCCGCGGCCACGTGCAGCCCATTCGCTGCACCAACTGCGCCCGCTGCGTGCCCAAGGACAAGGCCATCAAGAAGTTCGTCATCCGGAACATCGTGGAGGCCGCGGCCGTCAGGGACATCTCGGAGGCCAGCGTGTTCGACGGTGAGCGAGCGGCGGCTTTTCAGGCTCTGTTCATTGTATGTGGGGAAACCGCCACCCCGAGAATGGCTCTGGTACGACGATTAGGCCCCGGAGTCTGGGCGAAGGCTTGCTTTTTGTAAAAGCAATTTGGGTGTGCAAAGGAAGTTCTCTCTTTGTAAGAAGTCTCCTAAGCAGGACCTGGGGTTGCCTTGGTTTCCTGTACCATTTTTGGTGACCCCCTAGTTGGGTTCCACCCCACCCCCCATACGGAGTTTTTAAGTGAAGTTTTTTAAGGAGACGACTTAGATCTGATTTTCCCATGTTAATTGAATTGTTTGCCAAATGGGAGGGGGGTCCTCACTCTTCCCCACAAGTACCTGTTGTGACAAGGTTCTGATTTGGTTTCTTGAATGTTTCAGAACGGAGGCGGTCTCGTTTGGTTCGCCTCTGAGGCATGATGATGATGTTCGGTCATTGTTTTTTCTTAAGGCAGTTTAGCTTTCTTGGACAACAGGGGTCTAGGAGTAACTGCTTAAGGAATTGGATTATTGGTTTGTTTGGTCTGTAGCTAAAGGGCTGGTAGGGCATGTTTGTAAAACTGATGGTTGTGAATATATGCTTACATATCAGAATTGAACTATTGGGTGTGAAATTCAGTGACTGAGTCTGACATATAAATAGATTTATTTTTGACTGGCAGATGCGTGAAAAAGAACAGTGCAGGGTGGGTCTATAATACCTATTATACTTTATTTTTTAGCCTATGTGCTTCCCAAGCTGTATGTGAAACTGCATTATTGCGTGAGTTGTGCTATTCACAGCAAGGTGGTCAGGAATCGTTCTCGTGAAGCTCGGAAGGATAGAACACCCCCACCCCGATTTAGGCCTGCGGTAAGTATCCAGAAGTGGAAGACAGTGGGTTGATGGAGCCAAGGTATAGAATGTTAAGGTTCCGGGCATGACATACTTTAAGGATCTACACTTAAATATTTACTTGGAGAAATTTCTAAAAATTGCCAGAAGGTTTCGGGTGGAGTGGTGTGGTCTGTTGTACATTTACCAGTTTTCCCTGCGGTAGTGAAGTTAGTACTGGAAGTGTAGGGGTAAAGCTCATTGAGGAGGGTGTCTCACATCAGTGGTTTTTAATTTACTCTTTCATTCCTTTGTATTTCAGGGTGCTGCCCCACGACCTCCTCCAAAGCCCATGTAAAGAAGCTAGAGTAAAGCCATGTAACGACTGAAGGACAACTCTGTGGAGAAATAAAATGGAAATTGTACCTTACATAGCATGTTTGAGTGTGTCTGTTGCTAGATAGAGTGGGGTTTTGTCTGTCATAGGGACTGTACTTTTCTTTTCCTAGGATTTATTTATGGTGCCCCTCCCTGGTGGTGCAGCAGGTTGAGCACAGCTTTGTGAAGTTGTCCTCAGCCTCTGCAGTGTGGGTTCAATTCCCACTTTATGTCCACATGGCGGCAGACCTCTCATGTTATACCTGCTGCTCCCCTCAGCAGTGTTCTTGGTCTGTCTGCCTGTTCTGCTCCCCATTCTGTCTCTGGTGAATCCTCTCACCCTCCCACACCTCTGCCCTGTATCCCAGTGCTTGTATAAATAAATAAATCTTAAAAAAAGAAAAAATAGAAAATTCTACTTCTTCACTTAGGTTTTTATAAAGAAAAAAGGGAAGAAGACCTAGGAGGGTGAGGGAAGGTTGAGCATTAAGTGAGGCGCACATCAGGGAATGATACACAGTGCATGGGGAGGAACTAAACTAATAAAGCAATATCTATATATGTTTATGTGGACATGCTCTGCTGGTAAGCCAGTTCTTCCTGCATCTTTTTTTCTATGTTGTATTTTTGCATTAGCAAAAATGTGGTAAAAGGACCACAAATAGAATTTCCATACAAGGTTTGGGAAAAAGCTATACTTGACTATGACAGTGTTTAATTTTTCCTATAATTAAAAAGTTGTCAGGAATATAGATTGGAAACATCTGTTTGGGAATATATTTTGATACAAGGATGGATTTCCTTAGGTTATGTGATTCTGCCCCCCAAGTTAAGCTAAACAGTGGCTTACAGATTTTCATTAAAATAATACATTCATGGGCCTCCCTTTGAGCATAGTAGGCCCTTCTTGGATCCCAGCCGGCTGGGATCAGCTGGCTGGTGGGGCAGCAGACCTCTTGTCTCATCTGCTGCTCCCCTCAGCAGTGTATTTTGTCAGTCTGCCTGTTCTGTTTCCCGCTCTGGCTCTGGTGAATCCTCTCACCCTCCAGCGCATCTGGCCTGTACCCCGGTTCTTGTGTAAATAAATCTTTAAAAAAAAAAAAAAATAGGGCCTCCCTGGTGGTGCAAGGGGTTAAGCACCACACTATAAAGCAAACTGCAGCCTCTGCAGCACAAGTTCAATCCCGCCTTCCAGGGAAAAACCCGCGTGGCAAGCCAGACCTCTCCTATCTCGTCCGCTGCTCCCCTCAGCAGTGTGTTTCAGTCAGTCTGCCTGTTCTGTTCCCCATGCTGTCTTTGGTGAATCCTCTCCTCCCCCCGCCCCCCACATCTCTGGCATGTACCCCAGCTCTTCTGTGTATAAATCTTTAAAAACAATAATACATTCATTAGGGGCCTCCCTGATGGGGTTAAGTCTTAAGACTGTCATGTTCTTACCCCTATGCCCCAGCCTGGGAGCTGACCCACATGGTACTGTAGACCTCTTGTCTCCCCTCATTGCTCCCCTCAGCAGTGTATTTCAGGAGATCGGCCTGTTCTGCTCCCCACACTTTCTTTGGTGAGTCCTCTCACCTCCCACCCCTGCACCTTTGGCCTACACCCCAGTTCTCGGATGCATAAATCTTTAAAAAATACATTCATTAGGGGCCTCCCTGGAGGCGCAAGGGGTTAAGACTAACCACTATGAAGCAATCCGCAGCCACTGCAGCACAAGTTCGATCCCTGGCCAGGGAGGTGACCCATATGGCGCAGCAGACCTCCTGACTCGCCCGCTGCTCCCCTCAGCAGTGCATTTGTTAGTCTGCCTGTTCTGCTCCCCACTCTGTCTCTGGTGAATCCTCTCACTCCCCACACACTTCTGGCCTGTACCCCAGTTCTTATATGCATAAATCTCAAAAAAAAAAAAATAAAAAAATGTGTTTGGGAACACATTTTTGCAACTGTTTTCAGAGTGTAGCGGTAGTCCTGTTAGACTGCCCATTAGCTGAAAAACTGGCTCAGTTAATAGTATTGCATGTGTTATAACTGACAGGTCCAGAATTAGAAAGTTGAATGTAGGCAAAAGTGTCTATTGTTTGGGAAAGCCCACGAGATACACTGACCTCTTCATTATCCTCAACTGTGATCACCCCTCTATTTTTTTTAATGTTGAGTATAAGTGAGGTGTAAGTCAGAGATACAGGGGTGAAAGGATTCACCAGAGATAAGAGTGGGGAGCAGAACAGCCAGATCTACTGAAATACACTGCTGAGAGGAGCAGTGGGCGAGACAGGTGAGGTCTGCTGTGCCATGTGGGTCAGCTCCCTGACTGGCATCTAACTCAGGCTATAGAGATGATAGCACTGAGACTTAACCCCTTGGCTACCAGGGAAGCCCCTAATCACCCCTTTACACCAACGCTAAACAAAGTGAGAAGATAGCAGGTCCACAGCAAAATGAATGCTAAACCTGATAGTTCTTTTTTTTTTTAATTTATTTATTTATGCATACAAGAGCTGGGGTACAGGCCAGAAGTGGGGTGGGGGGTGAGAGGATTCACCAGAGACACAGTGGGGAGCAGAACAGGCAGATTGACCAAAGTACACTGCTGAGGGGAGCAGTGGAGGAGGCAAGAGAGGTCTGCTACGCCATGTGCGTTGCTCCCTGCCTGGCCAGGGATCAAACTCATGCTGCATGCTGCAGAGGTTGTGGATAGCTTCACAGGTTGCATCCTAACCCCATGCGCCACCAGGGAGGCCCTAAACCTGGTGGTTCTAACTCCCAGTTTGTTCAGTAAAACTGGGTTCAGGTAGTCGAGATTTTGTAGCTGCAAAATTTCTTTTGAAATGTTTAAGTGCACAGCCTATCCTTTTCTTAGGTTGGTTCTTAACTGACTTTTCCGTGAGTTTAGAGTGATTTAAGCAGTTTAAATGCAAGGTATGATCCTGTCTCCAGGTACCTGCTGACACATGCAGCAGGTTTTCTGGAAGGTCCTACTTTGGAGAGCCAGAAATAAAAGGGCAGTCCAAGTGCTTCAGGGCCATCCCATATCCCAATCAAGCACCAATTACAAATACAGCACACTGATGGGTAACCCACGTGTGCCCTCTCCACCTGTGGCAAAGTTCCCCGCCATGCAAGCGCCCATGACCTACTCTGAAATAGAAAACCATGTAAGACCCCACTTGCCCACAAGAGGGCGTCAGATGCCAAATGTTGGACAGCAAAGTGCATCTTGCTCTACTTAAGCGGTCGCGGGCTAGAGTGGACTAAAATAACTAGCTAGTTATTTTAAAGGTAACGAAAACCTTTGACTCCTTCCTCCCTACTGCGCCCCAGTTCATTTTATTTTATTTATTTATTTATTTAAAGATTTATTTACTTTTTTAAAGATTTATTTATTTAATTTGTTTTATTTATTTATTTATTTATTTATTTATTTATTTATTTATACAGGCACTGGGTACAGTCAGAAGCGCGGGAGGGTGAGAGCATTCACCAGAGCCAGAGCGGGGAGCAGAGCAGGCAGAAGGACCGAGGTACACTGCTGAGGGGAGCAGCGGGCGGCAGGAGAGGTCTGCGCGCCCTGTGGGACCCTCCTCCGGTGGCCGGGGAGCAGCCGGGGATCGAACCGGCGCTGCAGAGGCTGCAGGCAGCTTCGCCACCCAGCGCTCAACCGCTGCGCCACCGGGGAGGCCCCCAGTTCATTTTATCAGATATTAGGGGAGAAGGTTTGTCTTCTCAGCACCTCCTCATAATTCCGATGTGTTCCCCAAATGAATATTCAAACCAGATGGAAGCCTCTGAGCTCTTCCAGCCACTGGTCCACTGTCCACCTGTGGAGTTCAGTGAATTTCAGGTCAATATTCTAGTAGCCAGGACTCACTGAGGTCCTCGACTGCATTCCATGTGCATCAACCGAAAATTCTGGGTGTTTCTTTTTTTTTTTTAAAGATTTATTTATTTGTTTATGCAAGCACTGGGTACAGTCAGAAGCGCGGGAGGGTGAGAGAATTCACCAGAGCCAGAGCGGGGAGCAGAGCAGGCGGAAGGACCGAAGGACACTGCTGAGGGGAGCAGCGGGCGGCAGGAGAGGTCTGCGCGCCATGTGGGACCCTCCTCCAGGTGGCCGGGGAGCAGCCGGGGATCGAACTGGCGCTGCAGAGGCTGCGGGCAGCTTCGCCACCCAGCGCTCAACCGCTGCGCCACCAGGGAGGCCCTCTGGGTGTTTCTTTTTCCCTACCTCTTCATAATTTAGCATCGATGAGGAAATTATTCACTGTTCATCACACTTTTTTTTTAATTTTTTTCTTTTACAGAGTAGAAAAACTAGGGTGTAGGACAGAGATGTGGGGGTGAGCGGATTCACCAGAGACAGAGTGGGGAGCAGAACAGGCAGATTTACTGACACTGCTGAGGGGAGCAGTGGGCGAGGCAGGAGAGGTCTGTTGTGCCATGTGGGTAGCTCCCTGGCCAGGGATCCAATTCAAGCCCTAGTGGTGATAACACTGAGACTTAACCCCTAGGCCACCAGGGAGGCTCTATACAGAAAATGAGTACTTGGGCCTCCCTGGTGGCCTAGGGGTTAAGTCTCAGTGCCATCACCACCCTGGCCTGAGTTTGATCAGGGCTAGCAAGCTAACCCATGGTGCAGCAGACCTTTCCTGTCTCGCCTACTGCTCCCCTCAGCAGTGTATTTTAGTACATCTGCCTGTTCTTCTCCCCGCTCTGTCCTGGTGAATCCTCTCACTCCCACCCCCCAACCTCTGGCCTGTACCCCAGCTCTTATATGCATAAATAAATAAATATTTTTTTAAAAAAGGAATATTTACTATGTGCCAGCATGTCTAAGTGCTGAAGACCCTAAAATGTAAGAGCTTGTATTTCAGTTGGGGAGCAGTGTAAGTGGGTGACACAGTATGAGGAAGGGCTCTAGTTTTATAGGAGGTGGCCTTATGTATAGATATGTAAGGTTGATGATGCCTGGGTTCCAAACCCCACTAAGATGTCTGTATTGTGTTGGGCAATACTGTATTTTACCTTTGTGTCACCCAGTGTCCTGATCTGAGATACATGAGTAAATAAATAGTAAATCCCTCATGGTGGTGTGAGGATTAAATGAGGTTATGCGTACAAGGCACTTAGCACAGAGAGCAGCTGGTACTGGAGCAGTAAATGTGCACTAAGTGTTAGCTGTTACTACTATCTGCTAGGCACTTCACAATGGCTTCCTCATTTACATCTCAATTCCCAAGGTATCTTTGATGATATTTAACAATTCAAATATTCCCTTTAATGTTGAGCCTTCCCTTCACATTAAGCACAATTTACTTGCCTAAAACTTCCACTGAGGCTAAAAACTTACTGCTCTTTCACTGCATCTATTGATTTTCCATCACTACATCAGGACAC